ATATCAAGTCTGGTATAATACTATCCTTAATTCTACGATACTCATCCAACATCCTCTTATCTAATGCTTATGATGATGACCATAGTAGTTGTAGTAGTAGATTACAAGTTGGTATAGTTATATCCATCCATGCAGTATGATCATCTCTTCTTATCATCATCATACTCATCCTATTACACTCTCCTTCATTGGGATCATCATACTCCTCCATTCTCATCAACTACAGTATACCATCACTTTATCACTTGTTGAGTATGATGATGATGATTATGCTTACAAATTGGTATTTTAGGTCTGATACTTGGTGGATGATCGTATACTCCATCCAATGCTTCATATTCTTAAGTACATTATTCAGTGTAACGAGGTAAGAGATGAATATCTACTACAACAATATAATATAAAGCATAAGTGATACCCCCTACATAAGTGATACCCTCACACACGAAATCTGAGATTTCAAATCTCACAATCTGAGTCGCAGTAATAACAGAGAAATCGAAAAAATACTGTATGTTCTATTATTTTGTGAGGGGGTTTACATCATCAACAATATGCAGCAGTAGCAGCAGCAGCATGGTTGACCATGCTGAGTATATACATTACTACTACTACCTTGTCTATGAGCTTATGTATAATAAGCTGCTGCTGTTGCTGCTGTTGTTGTAGTGTAATGTCATTAGAGAACTCTCTATGATGTATACATCTGATCAACAACAATTCCACTATCATTATCACAAGCACTATCATTATCATCATCATCATTACTACTTATACCTATCATCCTCTTCCTCCTCCTGCTGGTGCTGCTGGTAGTGGTGGTGGTGGTGGTTCTCAGAAGATACCATCCTCATTGAGATAGACTTTATTATCTGGGGTATAATCATCATCTTATCAATATGCTCCTCCTCTTCCTTCTCCTCTTTCTCATTATCTATACTTATGTTCTCTACTATTGGTATACCCATAACCTGATGATGATAATGATGATGATGCAATGTGATATTGTATGATAATGATGATGATGATGACGGGGATAGTAATAACCTCTTTAAATATTATATCCTCATAATCTCCATTATCATTATTATATACCTTCACCACAGCTTTAAGTGTAGTAGTTGGTAGTAGTATATCGTAATTATCCACTATCATTGTCATAGATGGTGGTAATATATATCTTATCATCATACACTTACACTAAGTATTATTATTATTATGACTACCTGCATACTTCCTTTCTTGTATTATCATTAATATAATCCTTATCATTAATAACAATAGATGATAATGATGCCTCTATTGATTGTATAATGGTATACATATCATGATTACCATCGGTCATTGACTCTATCTTCATCATATCACTAGGAGTCATGATAATTATAATAACCTAGTAGGATAATAGACATAATCATCATACACGTGTGTGATGATAATGATGTTATTACTGGATTATTAGGATGATCCATCGATGATGATGATGATGTAGTAGTAGTAGTAGTATTATGCATAATGTTAGTACAGGCCTTTTGTATATACTTATATGGATCATCATCATCATTATGATGATGATTATGACCATCATCTTTCGTAATATATCTAAGATCAACTATGTCGGCATGTTCCTCCTCCTCCTCCTCCTCCTTGTTTTCTTACTCATGTATATCGAGTATATGTACCATATTATCCTCTACCACCATACTAGATAATTGTGATATACTATCATTATACACGTCGTCCATTACTATCATCATTATAAACCTATAATAACCGTATGACCATGATGATGATGATAGTATGAGCAGTAGTAATCGTTGTTTTTCTCAGTACTTGAAATCCTCATCATCATCATTATAACCCTTGTGGAATCTTCTTCTTTGTAGTATGTCATTGACAGTATCCCCCGCTATCGTGTTAATAGTCTTATTACAAGTATATCCTCCTACTCTATGTAGTAACTACAATATGTATAGATGATCTATTTTGATAATGTCATCATTACATAATCCATAATCATAGGATGATGCACATCATCATCATCATCATCATC